TTTTCAAGTATACGACAGATGGTGTGCTAGGTAGCTTTAAAAAAAAATGCTAGGTCAGACAACTTAATCCACCATCTTTTTAAAAAACATTGCAGATTAATAAATTTTAGTTGAGAAAGCACAAGCCATGTGGTAACATTTTTGTCTTAGATCACTTCCATTAGAAATGGTAAGCTATAGAAAGTTGTAGAGATAGCCTTTAACACAAAAAGTAAATGAAGTTCAACAAATGGTTATGAAATACAGTATTATGTGAATGTCTGACAGACCTTTCTAAGTCCTTCTTCAACAATTTGTGAAGAATAACCTCTCTGTAAGGAGGAGAAGCATAGGAGCAGAATGCCAGCCTGTGAAGTCTTCCATGCATAAGGCATTTGGTGAATAACTGTGAGTTGTTTAACATTGATTTTAGGTATTTTCGGGGCTATGATATATGTGACAAATAATCTTATTAAATTACCTATTTCCTAAACATTTATTTGAAAGTTCCCTTTAAATGTATTATCATAAACTTCAGTTTTCCCAGAGGGACTCTATGTGGGTAACTAATTAGGTCACTTCTGAGTTTAAGATTTTTAAAAATCAGGGGCGCCTGGGTGGCCCAGTCAGTTAAGTGTCCAAGTCTTGATTTCAGCTTAGGTCATGATCTCACATTGGGACCTGAGATCGAGCCTTAAATCTCTACCTCTCCCCTGCCCCTCCCTGACTTGTGCAGGCTCTCACTTTCTCATTCTCTCTTGCTCTGTCTCAAAAAATAAGAAATAAAAGGGAAAAAAAGATTTTTAAATGAATAAAATGAACCAGTGATTATCTCTACTACTGATGAGAAAGGCAATGAATGTACCAAAATGATTTGGTTTTGAGTTTACACTAAGACTATGCATTTCATACCCTTTTGCTTTCTTAAAGAACATATTGCTTTATTTGCTCCTTAATTTTTAAAACTAAGGGATAATTTGTGTACAACATAATTAACCCTCCTTAGGGTATAATTATGAGTTTTGACAAATGCATACAGTTATGTAACCAGCACTGCAATGAAGATCTAGAACAGTCCTATCTCCAAATATTCCATCATGCCCTTTTGTAATCAGCCAGTTTGTTCCCATACTACCTGCTGCTTCAGACTTATTCTGTCCCTGTAGGCTTGCCTTTTCCAGAATGTCATAAGGAATCATATATATGTAGCCTCTAAGTTAGCTTCTTTCTTTTTGTTTTTGTTTAAATTCTAGTTAGTTCACATATAGTGTAATATTGGTTTCAGGAGTAAAATTTAGTGATTCGGCACTTATATAACACTCAGTGCTCATCACAAATGCCTTCCTTAGTCTCCATCACCCACTTAGCCCATCCCTCACCCACCTCCCCTTGAGCAACCCTCAGTTTGTTCTCTATGTTAATAGTCTCTTATGGTTTGCCTCCCTCTCTCTTTTTTCCCCTTCCTTCCCCTGTTTTGTTTCTTAAATTCCACATATGATGAAATCCTATGTTACTTGTCTTTCTCTGACTGACTTATTTTTTGCTTAGCATAATACGTTCAAGCTTCATCCACATCATTGCAGATGGCAAGATTTCATTCCTTTTGATGGCTGGGTAATTTTCCAGTGTGTGTGTGTGTGTGTGTGTGTGTGTGTGTGTGTGTGTGTGTGTATGTGTGTGTGTACACATATACATACATACACACCACATCTTCTCTATCCATTCATCAGTTGATGGACGTTGGGCTCTTTCTATAATTTGGCTATTGTTGATAATGCTGCTGTAAACATAAGAGGTACTCCTTGAAGGTACCCCTTTGAATCAGTATTTTTGTATCCTTTGAGTAAATACCTACTAGTGCAATTGCTACATCGTGGTGCTAGTTCTATTTTTATATTTGGCTTCTTTCTAAGGCACATGCGTCCTTAGTTCATTCCTTCTTATTGCTGAATGTTAGACCATTGCATGGATTTATCGCAGTTTGTTTATCCATTCACTAATTGAAGGGTGATTGGGTGTTTCCAGCTTTTGGTGACTATGAGTAAAGCCCCTGTAAACATTCATGTGCAGGTTTTTGGGTGAATGTAAGTATTCATTTCACTTGGGCAAGTACCTAGGAGTGTGATTGCTGGGTCACATGGAAGTGCATGTTTAACTTTGTAAGAAACTGCCCTGGCTATTATTAGGGAGCTTAGAATTTAGTTACAAGTTTGTGGTAGATGCTTGTTGGGATGAGCACTGGGTGTTATATGTAAGTGATGGATCACTAAATTCTACACCTGAAGCCAATTTTACCATTTATGTTAACTAGAATTTAAAACAAAAATGTGAAGTAAAAAAAAAAAAAAAAAAAGATAAAATTTCTTCTGGATTAAAAAGAAAACAAGTTTACGGTTTGATGCTGAATATAATTGCAGATTATCCACTTGTGGCCAGTGAGAGTCAATAGTAGTAGTTATACTTTATTATCACTTGAGTTTACACTAAGTTATACTTTATTATCACTTACTAGCTACAAATCATGTTTCTATAAAAATTCAAAAGTGGATTCCATTATATCTTAATTTATTGTACAAAAGTGAATTTAACTTCTTAAAGGTTGTTTTTTACTAGTGTTATTGGCCAAGTTTTTTAACCTCTTGAACCTAGTTTTCTCTTCTACAAAATGGTAATTACTATTTCCTCCGTGACCTGAATTATTCCTCTATAGTGATAACTCATTTTTGCCTTACAGTGAGGATTTAATGACGTGCTGCATGGAAGGTGCTCAGCAGCCCCTGGCACAAAAGTAAATGTTAAGTATAAAAAAAAAAAAAAAAGAAAAGGTATTTATTTGTTGGACAACCAAACCTGAATTTATAATTTAAACATTGCTATCAAAGCTCAGAAAGCACATCAACTGGAGCATTTTTATGACAGGGAAACGTTCTGTTTTTTACATTACTGAAATTTGCCAAGTCTAAGTGGTCTTGGAATCCAATATAGACAGTTTTCCTGCCACTGTGAAATTCAAACACATGGGTGGAGTTTGCAAAGGAACTAAAAGACAATTCCGATTTCTTCTTTCTTGGACTCCTTTTCTTAATGTTTCAAATTATCCCTTCTTTTTAGATGAGTTTTAAAACCTATTCATAGCCTAATATGTAAGTAGATTTCTTTTATTCAGAATTACTAAGTTGATGACCACTCCCTTCCCGGTGAGCAGGTGGAAGTTATTGTTCCACAGCCCCTCAGACCTCATACTGGGTATCGCCCTCCTGCCATTGACATCAAGCAGTTCTAAGCAGATGCAAGTGAGCCAGGGCTTTAGGCCCTCAGTGAATGAGGCAAGACTCCAAACAGGCAAATTCTTGCCCTAGTACTTCTCCTAGGGTGGTCCTTGAAGTGCAGTGCCAGATCAGTAGTGTTCCTGTCACTTGGGAGCTTGTTAAAAATGTAAATTCTGGGCTCCACCACAGACTGAATTCAGTTGCGGAGATGGGACTAGACAATCTGTGTTTTATTTATTATTTTTTTTAATGTTTATTTTTTTATTGAGAGAGAGCATGAGCACAAGAGGGGCGGGGGGGGGGGGGGGGTGCGGAGAGTGGATAGAGGATCTGAAGCAGTCTCTGTGCTAACAGCAGAGAGCCTAACATGGGGCTTAAACTCACAAACCATGAGATCATGGCCTGAGCTGAAGGTAGATGCTTAACTATCTGAGCCACCCAGGCGCCCCAGGCAACTTTTTTTTTTTTTTAACTTTTTTAATGTTTACTTATTTTTGAGAGAGAGACAGAGACACAGTGTAAGCGGGGAGGGGCAGAGAGAGACACATACATACAGAATCTAAAGCAGGTTCCGGGCTCTGGGCTGTCAGCACAGAGCCCAACATGGGGCTCAAACTCACCAACCGTGAGATCATGACCTGAGCCAAAGTCATATGTTCAACCGACTGAGCCACCAGGTTCCCCCAGCAATGTGTGTTTTAAAATGCCATCCAAGGGGCGCCTGGGTGGCTTAGTGGGTTAAGCGTCCGACTTCGGTTCAGGTCATGATCTCACGGTCTGTCAGGTGGAGCCCTGTGTCAGGCTCTGTGCTGACAGCTCAGACCCTGGAGCCTGCTTTGGATTCTGTGTACCCCCCTTTCTCTGCCCCTCCCCGACTCATGCTCCATCTCACTCTGTCTCTCAAAAAATAAATAAATGTTAAAATTTTTTTTAAATGCCATCCAAGTGATTTAATGCAACTGGACTGTGACACTGATTGCCTATGGACACGATGAGGAGGAGATTGAAGAGGTTATTTCTAACCATGAGAGGGATATCTGTGTAGCCTGTTACTTCATTGTGATCTTATAAATATTTTAATTGACATTTTCTAATATTTCAGGATATGAGGAATTTTTCGAGTACTTGTTGAATGATACAAACATAAAAAGATATAGAAAAGTGGGTAATAAATATTATACCAATTGTACAGTGTTCTAAATAACAAAACTTGGCTTCCTTAGGAAATCTATGAGTAGTATTTATTCACCAAGCTCCATGACCTGTCGTAAAATGGAACGTCAAAGTGGCAAAATAGCATTTTTGATCATCCAAAATGACATTTTAACGTCTTAAGCCTGTGAAGCCAGAGTCTGTAACCTCTTCCGTCCAGGGCATGGACCCAGTTAAAGTGGAAACAAACTTTTCACGCTGGCGTTTTGAGAGCATTACTAACAGTTAAGGAATTAGGCAGTTTATAAACCATCCTATTCCCAAATGCATTCCTAGTTCACTTGAAGCTTCCATGTGCCTCTGTTGTTGTTTATTTTACCGTAATAAATAGACGTCTCTGTATCACCAGATACTTGGTCTCATGAAAACCCTGCAGCAGCCCTTCCTCTGGGGGTGTGGCATATTATGCATGAGGTTGTCTTTGAGAAGTAAGGTCTGAGAATGCCCTGAGGTACACAGGGCACTGGTGCGGGCTCCTGGCTGCTCTGTGTGATCTCCAGTCTAGCAGAGGCTTTAAAGCCAGGAGTGAGATTTTATCCCATGATCTCTGAAAGAGTAAAGACAAATATTTTCTTATCAAACCAAAGTAAACTAATTATCAATATATGTGAAGTCACGTCCACTGATCAAGGTAAGTGGTTTCATTTTCTGCTGTATCTTTCTTATGTTTTGTTTTGTTTTTTAATAGTGTGGTCAGATGGTAACACAGCATGCCAAGGGACTTATAAGTGGCAGAGAGTTTGGTTTTGTTTTCATGTTAAGAATAGGGTTCACAGTATTTTTCAACTTTCACATTAAATATGTAGTATCTTCAGGGTTTTTGGCTCTTTCAGGAGGCGTCTCTGGGCTAGCAAAGTACAAATTGGTTTAAGTTCTATTTCTCTGACTCATTCTTAGTAACATTAGGACAGTTTAAAAATTCAGTCAGTAAGGAGAAGAATGCAGAGAAAGAAAGCAAGAATTTTCTTTCCTTTTTTTTTTTTCTTCCCCTTCAGTTTCTAGTGTGAACAAAACTAAGGAATGTTTACTACTAATCCTTTTCTAGTGCTACTGCATGGAGCACTCTTCTTTTCAAACAAACCCCACCATCCCAGCCTTCTTGTTTTAGTAAAGTTCAGAGGAGTGTTATGTGTTTTACATTAGATAACATTGCAGAGATAGGCATAGATCTGGACTTTTTTTTTTAATTGTTACTGGTATTAAGCTACTGTTTCCTTCCTCTAGTATTCTAGAGAGCATATAAATGAGAAATGGACTTTGAAAGAGGAATGAAATTCTACTGTGTGGTAGAAATATAACCATGTGACAGGAAATTTATGCTAAAAATATTTTTTGGGGCGCCTGGGTGGCGCAGTCGGTTAAGCGTCCGACTTCAGCCAGGTCACGATCTCGCGGTCTGTGAGTTCGAGCCCCGCATCAGGCTCTGGGCTGATGGCTCAGAGCCTGGAGCCTGTTTCCGATTCTGTGTCTCCCTCTGTCTCTGCCCCTCCCCCGTTCATGCTGTGTCTCTCTCTGTCCCAAAAATAAATAAACGTTGAAAAAAAAATTTAAAAAAAAAAATAAAAATATTTTTTAAGGCTGAAACGGATTCATTTTGTGTAGCTATTTTCCCATTGTTTCTGCATGGGTATCACCCCTCCTGAAGAATGCCTACATTGCTAAACAGGGTGAGCTGCACCTTACGACAGGCAGTCTTCACAATTACCAAGGTTCTCTTTTTTTTTTCTGACGTCACTCTTTCCTCTTTTGGCCTCAGTGGAGCTTGCACGGAGTGTAGAAGCGCGAGGGTAGGGTTGGTCCTAGCACTGCTGCAGGCAAGCTGAGGCTCCCTCCTGGAGCCCCACAACCTTGGCTGGCTCTGCTCCCAGGTTCTAGTAGTTGCTAGAGATTGAGGAGCCCAGTCCTTGCCTGCTCCTGCTTCCTCCCTCATGTAGGTGGAAGGCTTGATTCCTTTGTGAGGGTTCTACTGTTCTTGCGTAAGTAAGCTCAAGGTTTGTATGATCTCACCATGGTTTCCCATCATACTCTAAATATGAAAAATTGTTTCAAACTGACAAAAGGGAAGTATTTTTCTTTCTCCATTAGTGAAGTTCTCTCTATCCTTGAAATAGCTGCTCTCTCTTTTCATTCCGTCTTCAAACAGTTAGGGTTGATTGGAGGGAATTAATATTCCTTCCTGGAAGGCAGCTCTCAGATGGAGAGAAAACTACTAGAATTTTCTGTTCTAATGGACACCTCCCTGTAGTGAGTGGCTGCTACCATAGTGTGCGCTTTACAAGTTCCTTTTAAGGTTTTTAAACTGAAAAGACAGTAATAGAGCACTTCCTGCCCATACCAGTGGTTTACTTTTATTGCCAGTAAGTTGTCTAAGAAAACATTTCACATACACATAGTTACATGTTATTTGTAAAAGTTTTATCTTTGTTTAATGACTTGAAGAAATTTTCCTTTTTAAAACATGTACCTCTAGACAGACTCTCACATGGAAATTGAAAAGTGAAAATAGCGTGATCAATGACTCAATAGTAAGTATTGTTTAATCCTTGCAGGGATAATAATATGGTCTTCATTTCATTTTCATCCAAAATAATGTAACTTATGTTGTAATCCAAGAGTGAGATTTAAATTTGGCTGCCTCTCCTTAGATGCTAGAACACCATTCATTCAAAAAATAAAAAAGCCTTTTTTTAGGTGTCCGGTCCCTACCTCCTTTCTGATCTATCCTCTGATAATCATATTCACTCTCTGTGTTCTTTCTTGCTTATAAAATAGGGAGCTAATTTTACTGGTCTGAAATATATTTTTAAAGGTTTTCTCCCTGATTTAAATATATTTTCTGACTTGTCCACTACCACAGTACCTGTTAAGCCCTGTTTAGATCAGGTCCTTCTATGATTTTTTCCACTCTGCTAATTGACCAGGGTTCTGTAGTTGGTTGGTCCTATTTTGAAGCAGCAGAGGGAAAATGCCTATGAGGAGAAACATAGTGTTGGCCATGGAGGTTGGTTGTTCTACATGGTAGTTATTAAGACCTGTCCTGGAGAAAACCACTCGTTCTCCCTTAGAGAATGAATATAGACAAGATTTTTTTTTTTAATAATTAAAAAAAAAAACCACTAAGTCATTGTGGCCTTCTCCATATCATTGTGTATCATCTGTTACTTCTTAGACTCAGGCCAAAAACCTTGCTCTTCTTTAAATTTTTTTTTAATGTTTATTTTTGGAGAGAGAAAGAGAACATAGCAGGGGAGGGGCACAGAGAGAGGGAAACACAGAATCCAAAGCAGGCTCCAGGCTCCGAGCTGTCAGCACAGAGCCCAACGCGGGGCTTGAACTCATGAATGGAGAGATCATGACGTGAGCCAAAGTCGGACACGTAACTGACTAAGCCACCCAGGCACCCCCAAAAACATTAGTCTTTGTTCAGTCTTTTTCTCTTCCATCTAATCTGTCAACAAATCCTGCTTCAAGAGACTTCAAACTGACCATGTCTTAATATGTCCACTGCTGCTACCCTGCTTCAAGCCACTCAAGTTTTCTTTGGATTATTCCAATAGCTTCCTACCTGCCCTTGACTACTTAGAGTTTGTTCTGCACCCAGCAGCCTGAATGCTTCTTTAAAAATGGAAAACAGCTCATGGTCTCTCCTCTGCTCACACCCTTCAGTGGATTCCCAATTCTGTCAGGGACAATATACAAGGTCCTGCCTCTCCTGACCCTAGCTTCTACCCTGTTAACTCTGACCTCGATGCTAAACGTGCTCCCTGCTCATTCTTATCTATCCATGTTGTCTTTCTGATTTCTCCCTGAACACTTCTGTGCTCCTACATTAGGGCTTTTGTAGTTTTATCTTTTCCCTTGGAATGTTAATCCCCCAAATATTTGTGTGCCTCACTCTCTTTGGGTCCACTCATTGTCACCTGACTGGGGAAGCCTTCCTTGAACTACCTTGCCCAACAGCTCTCTGTCTCCTTTACCCAGCTTTGTTTTCCTCATAGCACTTTATGCCAACTAGCATTTATGTAATATATTTTGTTGTTGTTTTGTGGTTCACTCCTATATCCCTAGAGCCTAGAACAGTGACTGATAGATACTGGGCGCTTCGTTAATATGTGTTATATGAATGAGTATTTTTCTAATATTCATAACCTTTTCTGTTAGGAAATTTAGAGCTAAATGAGCAGGGATACAGAGAAGTCAATAAATTATACATATTTGTCATGTTTTTCATTTATTCCCCTCAGTTGTCTTTCATAGAGTAAATATTGTGCTAATTAGTTTCTGGTCTTCCTTGTTGAGCAGAATCTGAGTAATGAGTGTCTTTCTGTTGGAAGACTGGAGGCCAAGCTGATAACAGTTTATAAAGAACTGAGAACAGCAGCACCTGGGTGGCTCAGTTGGTTAAGCGTCTGACTTCGGCTCAGGTCATGATCTTGTGGTTTGTGAGTTCAAGCCTCGCGTCAGGCTCTGTGCTGACAGCTCAGAGCCTGGAGCCTGTTTCAGATTCTGTGTCTCCCTCTCTCTCTCTGACCCTCCCCCGTTCATGTTCTGTCTCTTTCTGTCTCAAAAATAAATAAATGTTAAAAAATAATTTTTAAAAAACCCTGAGAACAAAGGGGGTGACACTGAAGTCATGGATGGGCTCAATAAATGGTTTTGGATTATGAATTATAGGGCTGTGTTGCAGGAGAGAAAACAGATGGGAGAGGTTTTGGGGTGTGAGAGCAGGAAATTTGGGGAACTGTGTGCATGGAGAAAATTATGGCAAGATGAAAATAAAATGTTTAAGATGTTTTGTTACATATTAAGGGTATACTTTCCCCTCTTTGTTTTTCTTGGGTTTTTTCCTTCTGCCTTTAAAGGCATTTAAGTTTGAAACTCTCCTATAGAAGGAAAGAAGGAAAAGAAAGAAGATAGAATAAAATGTAACAATCTAGAAATGTTTCCTCTAAATAAATTCTTACAAAGCTTGAAAACCAGTTCATGGATTAAAGTGTGTGAATTATTTATGTGTTTATATGTTATACAATTTCTTTCCAAATCCATCTGGATAATTGGAAATTGACCCACATTTAAAAATCTATAACAAGCAGTTAAGTTCTATGAATGATGATTTGCTATATGATAATATATTTATCAGAGTCATAATGATGATACATTGTTAGATCACGTGACTTCTTAGAAATAGGAAATCTACTTAGAGTGTAATAAGAAGTACATAAGGCTTGAAAATGATTATTTTCATTACTTTGTAAATGTAAGCCCCCCAATGACTATTGAACTGGTGAAGTTACCAATTTATGTAGAATATCATCAGTTTTTCTCTTTTAACATTGCCCAATAGATTTTTTTCTTGATTTATTTCTATCAGAATTACTAATTTAGAGCAGAAAATAGCAAAATAGTGAATGAAGATATTGAGCAAAGAAGATACTTTTTTATATTTCTTTAGTCTAAAATTCACTAACTTATTTAAGTACAGGATAGGGATAAGGAGACATGCTTAGAGATGAGGAATGTAACTGTCCAGTAGTCCCCCTTCATCCATGGTTTCACAAGCAGATGATCCTTCTTCTGATGTGTTGTCAGAAGGTCACTAGTAGCCTAACAGTATGTTACAATGCCTGCGTC